GTTTAGGGTTTATAGGGTTTTGGTTAAGACCTTTTCCAAATCAGGCCAGAACCCTGAACACACAACATAAACCTTGTCAAAGTTGTACATATAAGGCTTTTTTCGAGTAACCCCTGCGGCTTCCTCCAGCTTTTCCTCATCTCTTTCCCGGTCAAGCACATGCCCCTTCTCCTCGTACTCCACATGAAACTTCTCGAGATTCTTGTCGTAGCGATCGGTCCTTTCAAGGCACATGTTGCACACTCAAGCTGCTACGAACATATCCTCAAGCCTCACACCGCGTATCATGTGGCACTGCTATGTCCAAAACACCATCCCAGGTATCAGCCATGCAACTTCACTGCGCCCACCCTGCGGCATTCGGTGATGGCCTTCTGGATGTAGTCCCTGGGAGTTGTTGAGTGTAGTGGTTTACAATGGTGTTTAGAATGGTGGTAGAATAAGCAGAGCCCCGCACTTGCCCCATTTCAGCTCGTCCTTCATTTGCTTTGTAGTGAACCAGCCCCAGCCCGACTTGTTCTCCTTCTCCCTTATTCTTGTGTAGGTTCGCGTGCAAAGGGCAATGAACTCGGCCTAAGCAACAGTTGGCATCAGTTGAGCTTTGACTAAACCAGGGTGTACACAGCAGGCCGTTCACACCTGCCTTTTTAAAGCTGCACTCCTCCAGCTGTTCCATCAACTTGTCTCGGGAAGCTCCACCAGCGATGTATGCCTTCTCCACAGCCTCTGGAACCAGAAGCTTCCCATTCCTCGTGCGCTTGCACAAGCGTCGAAGACGATGGTACTTGGCATTCTCGGACAGCTCGCCCTGCTAAGTTTGAGTTCTAATCTAAGTGCAACGATAACCTTTGACTTTTCATGATAGCAGACAGATGGTATACAGGTCCTCTATCACAGCTGTAGGTGGCTTTGCTTAAAGCACCACTAGACAGCACCACCCCAGGGACAGCTGATGCTCATGATGTTGTTCTTGATGCCTATGGTTTACACCACCCACCGCTTCGATTTTAGTCTTTTCCACATTACCACATCAAAATTTTGGTTCTAAATTCATAACGACCAAACCTGGGCGCCCCAAACCGGGAGCTCACTACATGTAGTTGTGTGGTCTTTTTAATGGCACTCTGGGATGGCCCACAAGCTCTGTTTACAATAGCAACGACACAGGCAAGCATGAAAGCAAACGTAGGCACACACACATGCATGCCTAGATCTGTGCCTTGCCCTTCTCAGTAAGTGTGTACCTACACATGGGATTGGACTCAATTAAACGACAACACTAAAGTCTGTTCAGGGGTTGAATGAAGAACAGATCGAGAGCACCTTCTGATTTCAGGAAGC